TCTGAAATTGAGTTTCAACCCTCATTAGCAGTTTGACCCCAGCTGGGCTAGTTGTTCTGATTTTCTAAATTTCCATTTTCTCATCTCCATAGTGAGAATCTACATATCTGCCCTGCCTTTCTGACAGTACTGCTATGAGAATCAAATAAGATCATACACATTAAAGTATTTTGGAAACCATATTTTATAAAAGTGTAAGAGATTATTATGACTGCTTTCTTTATTAGGGATGTTATGGGTTTGTCAATGAATCCTAAATAATAAATTTCTAATACAAAAATATTTTTGTAAAAATGGAACCAAGCTAATTTGGAGCATTGTGAACATTTAGAAATTTGGGCAGCTAGCTTGGGCATAGCATCTATTCTGGTGATCTTTGTTCCCAATAGCTCATTTGAGGTGAACCAATAAAACAGGAAACTTTGTACTTTAGGAGCTTCTGAATACCCAACCTGGCAGATGGGCCCCAGCTGTGAGTGACAATGGGACCCTTGAAGCATTGCCAAAGGCCTACCACCCAGATGTTCTGTACATCTGTTCCATGTTTAGAAAACCTCTACACTTTTCAGAAACTACCTGAGACACTTTAAGATGTTATTTACTGCAGTGGCAGAGGAAAAAAGCTCAAATCAAAGAGAGAAGGATGCTTTTGGGGCTGGAGGTCTAGAGTAGGGTTTGAAAATTGGAGAGTCAAACAACAAATCCCTGTTCTGTGTGTGTGGTAGTGAAAGGAGCAGGAAGCACATAGGTCTGAAAGTCGACGAGGGTCACTAGGATGGGCCTCATGAAAATATTTCACATATACTACCATTTGAAGATCCAAGTGAACTAATAAATACATCTTTCCTGTAAAATACAATCAATCTTTGGGAGGATGGTGTCCTATTAACTACTTCCACCTTAGTATGAATGACTTCAGTTAATCCTGAATTGTGTTCTCGTAGCTGGGATCTATTACAATGTGCAAATAATTTTTTTATTGAATTTACCTTTAGATTTAGATTGAGTTAAACCTTTTGAGTTCAGTGGACTTTGGGAACACAAGTGTACACTCCAAATGGATATCTGATTATCCTCCAAATGGATAATCAGAGTGGCATCATATATTTCCCATGGATGAGATAAAGAAGGGCCACCAGGAAGAAGAATCAAAGTACAAAAATCAAAGATGAAGGAAACTTGAAAACATATGATAGGTTGTCGGCTGTCCTTGCAGGCCAGTTCGAATAATAAAAGTTCAAACCTCTAGTATGCAAGCTGAGGATAGCCCATGCCTAATCTAGGGAGATGGTAGTGAGACTGAAGATTAGTTCGACTTCAAGGAAAATGGAGTGGAAAGGGAGGAATAGATGCCATGCATATGATGGCACCGAGTCACTCATGACAAACTAAGCTGTAAAGGTTTCAAAACACCCTTCATTTAGGTTGAGCTACAGGCACAGCACAGGATTAGGTAAGTCTGGCTTGAGTTCAGTGAGCCATGGCTAACTGTCCATCAGCAGAGAAATGCTTCATCCTTTGACGGAGACAGCACAAGCTCACCAGGGCAAATGAAGTCTCTAAGGTGAATACAGATTTTTCTTTAAAGAATGAGAATTTTGCAGGAGTCCCAACAGATGAATATCCTTTAGAGCAAATTTCATAGGCAAAATTCATATTTGTACCTAAAAAAAATAGATGGAGTAGTGGGTAGTCGAGGTGTAGATGGACCTACAGATGTGTGATAAAACAAGCGTAGTCAATTATTTGTGGCAAAATCTTGGTGATAAATGTATGGATGTTCACTGTAAAAAAGATTTCAAGGTTACTGTTTACATGTTTTATAATAGAATATTGGTGGAAGAGTCTCCCTCAGAAAATATCCATATTTGCAAAACTGATTATTTGGTAATTTTTTACAGACAAAGGATTTTGCTGATGAATTTTGAAAGAAGTCTGTCAATTTTGAGGCACATATTTCCAGGGAACATTAAAAAAAAAAGTAGACATGTTCGAAATTTCATTGAAAATGCAGCCAGGTTATAATGATTTGTAATTACAATTTCCAAAATAATCTCAAGAGAGAAATTTTTCTCTCCATTTAAAATGCTTATTAAATTCTGCTTAAATGCGTGTGTTAAATTCTGTTCAGTTAACATGATTTGTTCAACAAAAAATGGACTGCTACAAATTTGAGTTAAAATGGATCAAAAAGAGATCATGCGTATAGATCCCTTTATGAGGGAAGAAGAGTGAATGATCAAAAGCAAACCCACATGCGGGACATGGTGGTGTTCACCTATAATCCCAGTGACTTGGGAGACTGAAGCAGGAGAATGACAAGTTTAAAGCCAGCCTCAGCAACTTAGTGAGGGCCTCAGCAACTTCTTATTGAGACTTTGTCTCTAAATAAAATACAAAAAGGGCTGGGATGTGGCTCAGTGGTTAAGCACCCATGGGTTCAGTTCCTAATACCAAAAAAAAAAAAAAAAAATAGGTGAGGAGACCACTCTTAAGTACGGGGTGAGAGGGTGGTCATTTAGCTTCACAATTCTGGGATCAGTCTGTAGAACTGGATTGCCCCCTTCCTGCTGCTTCTTAAAATGTTTTATTAGTGCATTACCATTGTACATAACAGTGTGGTTCATTTTGACATAATCATATATTTATGGAATATAATTTGTTTCCTTTCAGTTCCCAGGACTTCCCCTTTCCCTCCCTCCCTCCTTTTCCCTGTTCCCCTTCCTCTACTCTACTGGTCCTCCTTCTATTTAGTTATTATTTTTTAATTGTTGCTTTTTTATTTTTTAAATATTTTTTAATTGTAGAAGGACACAACACCTTTATTTTTTTATATGTGGTGCTGAGGATCGAACCCAGTGTCTCACACATGCTGTACCACTGAACTACAATCCCAACCCTTAATTGATGATTTATAGCTATACATGAAAGTAGAATTCACTGTGGCATCTTCATATATGTATATAGTATAATTGGGTTATTTTCTTTCTTTTTTTTTTTTGGTACGGGAGATTGAACCCAGGGGTACTCAACCACTGAGTGATATCCTCAGCCCTTTTTTATGTTTTATTTTGAGATGGGGTCTTGCTTAGTTGCTTAGGGTCTCACTAAGTTGCTGAGGCTGGCTATGAACTTGTGATCCTCCTGCCTCAGCCTACCAAGTTGCTGGGATTACAGGTGTGCACCACCACCACTGGCAATTGGTCACTTTCATTCCACAGTTTCTGCTGCTTTTGATGAATATCAGAGACAAGAGAAGTATAGTCTTGGTTCACCCTCTCTTGCTTGAAATAACTACATAGTGATCCATCATGGCCAGCAAAGTGCCTTTTTCTTTGTTTTGCTCCCCATTTCAATTCTGAGGGTTTGCTTAGCTGTTATAATTCCCATTTCACAGATGTGGATGCAGAGGCTCAAGGAGAGACAGAGAGTAAATGGCTGAAGCCACACACTTGCATTGTCTGGCATGTAATCACGGTCTCTATGGAGACAGGACCTGAATTGTGCTGGTGATTACTTCCAATCCTCTGATGAGGTGGTCCTCTGATGAGGCATGAGGTTTCTAGCTATTCAGGCATTGGATTCAATATTCCTCAACATAGCTGGTGCCTTTAGGGCCTGACTTTTATTCTTAGAAATTGCTCTTGGAGGGTATATTTACACTGCTCTAAGTAGCAATAACCTTCATTTCTGCTTTTCCCGGCCTGCTGCCTGTGTGGCAGGGCAGAGTCATGGGGTTGCTATAAGACTGGAAAGTTTGTATGTATTAGGACTTTCAGCTATTCGAAGGCAGAGGATTGCTAAAGAGGCCTTGCTCTAATCATCAGAACCTGGTAGGCCCAGAGTGTCTTTGTGAGATAGAGCTTTACTTTTCCCTACAGGATTTGGTAAGCAAAGGACAGGATGTGATATCTTTAGAGTGATCTAGTCACCAAACTGTAGCTAGGACACCTGTTCCCTAAGTTTTCATACTCAGCATCATGAGAAAGATACCTCTCTTTCTAGCTTCAAACACAGGGATGCAAACATGTTGGGAATGTCACAATGGCAGGGAAAATTCTGCCTTTTAATCCAAAGGGATGTTTGGAGATGAGTGATCAGAGTCTGTTTTGTTTCCCCCCAGCCTCCACTCTCTTGGCTGATTTCATAAAGGAAAAGAGGGAGGAGGAAAAGTCTGTCAGGATTTCTCAAATGAAAAACACATCCACACTGACAGAAATAACTGTTTTCTATTAAGGAATCTGGTTATGGTAACAATTATATTTTTGAATTTATCATCATGTTTATAAAACAATACTCCAGAAAAGATTCTAAGGAGAGATTTTGTGAACTAATTCCTCTCGCTCAGTTCCCTTTGTGAATGCCTCAGTAAGTGACCTTAGTCATATTGTGGCTGTTCCTTGCTAAACTTTGATGGGAAGTTTTTACAATTTCTACAAATCAGAGGAGAGGGTCGTCCTCTATTTTCCAATTTGTGACATTAGTGTTTTCTATTTATTAAGTTCTCCATGCCACCTAGTGTTTATCTGAAGAAATACCAGTTTCTTAGGAAGTCGCCCAATCCTGAGCAGGACTTCAAGTTCATATGGAAATTCAGACATGTTCCATTGGACACCCTAATTAAATAAAAAGTCTGCAATGATTTTCATAATTTCAAAATTAAACATCAACACATATGACTAAATTCTTCTCCCAAAAGAAAACTTTGGCTTTTTTTCTTCTCCAGGATATGCTGGCATCAAATAATTTTAGAATGGTCATGGAAAAAGGGACTTTCCAGATTATTAGGCCACACCCCAAACCACTGTTGTGCCAGGAAACCCTGGGCCTTCATCTTTGGTTTTATTTATTTATTTGTTCATTCATTCATTCATCTGAAGTATCTAAAATACATGGCTAGATTGCCAGAAGAGGCCTGAAATCTTTCTGTTTACCTTGTGCAGCTGCAGCATATATCAGGAAGCAGTAGGCAGAGGAAACCCAAAAAAGAAAGGACTTACTTTAGCTCAGACAGATGCTGGCCCAGCAGCAGAATCCAGGTCCTGAAACAGAGATCTAGCTGGAAAGGCTTGATTGAATTCCTCCTCCTCTTTCCTATCTGCCTCCAAAAACAACAAACCCTAATAAACAATGCCCATTATATGTGCAACAACAAAGTCATTCTTTGAAAACTCTGTCTTCTATCATTTGCCTTCAGTAATTACAAGGCCTTCTAAATGCTCCCAAAAGCCAAGTGAGGACTGGAGAGGGTATGGGGGTGGGGAACAGGGTGTAGGAACTAAGTCCAGGTTTCCAAAAGGACCCTGGCAATCCTGCAGTGGCCCTTTCTTTGGGTTTATGGAAAATAATGCTTGTCATAATTCTGGCAAACACATGCCTTGTATTTTATACAACAGTCCCAATTTCAAATAGTTTCCTTTGTCGTTCATGTAAGCACACAGTCTGGTCACATCCTGAGTTATGATTTTTTTTTCTTTTTTGAGCAGGGTGTTTGGAAAATATGCTCACCATTTTGTTAGGACCAAGGTCTCATAAGGTGCAGTTCTGTTTCTGTCACCCTTTGGCAAAATTACACACTTATTGTCACTTATTACAGGGCCTACAGGGCCATGGGTTGCTGGTAGGGTCAGGATTTTGGAATTCAGCTGGAGGCAAGAAGAGTTGGCAAACTTGATGTCCACATTTGGGATCTATAAAGTACATTCACTTTGGATCTTAATTTTGTTTTTTTCTGTGTCTGCTGATCTGGGAAATCCACAAATCTTAATGCAACAGACAAAATACCATCAGCATGATCTTATTGAGATCTATTAGTGGCGAGACAGGAAGCCAGTCATCAGAAGTGTCTCCATGCAAGGTCCTACAGGATATTGCCAGGGGATGGGAGCAACATTTGACAGGCACTGTATGGCTTGTCAATTCTGCAGAGAAAGGCCAACATTCCTATTGACCACATGACATATTCAATGTCTAAACTGGAAGTATCACCATAATATGGAGCCCTCAGATACTAGCTACCTCTCAGTTTTGTTAGAGGCACTAGAGATGGGGGAGCACGGGCCAGCTGGAGGGGAGATAGTGCTGGCAATGATGGGGAAAAGACAAGGAAAGAGAAAGGACTGGAGGAAGGAGCCAGAAGCAAAATGGGGCAGAGGAAAGGCATGTTGGGTACTAGAGCACCAAGTCAATATTAGAGAAACTTCTAATGGAAGCCTCAGACACAGGGCAGATGGAAGCAAGATGGGGCAGGAGGCAAGTATCTGTGGGGCCTCCCAGGCCTTCAAGTCACACCCTGACACAAGTTTCCCTAACACAATCTAAGACAAAAAATGAGATGCTCTTATCTTAAATACTCTAATTTCTTTGAGCCACATCACCATCATCCTCTGCCTCACTCTCCCTCTTTCTCTCCTTTATGAATCTTGTTGTTGTCCTTATTTCTGCCCTTATCATCCATTAGCATGTCCCCTCCTTATACCTATTCACCTCTTTTTCTGTCTTTCATCTGGCAACTCCACATTTTATGTCCCATGAAGTTTCCAGTAGCCACTCCCTTATTGCCCTGGGATCAGGTGTGCCAGGGGCCCTGACTGCTGCCTCTTCTTGACTTCCCCTTTCCTGAGGTCACCATACCTACCTTAGATAGCATGCCTTCCCTAAAGATAGCTCATTCTGTTGAGTACATGTGGCTTTAGCAGGGCCCAGTCTTCTGAGTCATGGGAGAATCAGGCAGGTAGGGGTTCAGGCCTCCCACTTTAGCAGGAACAAGTCTCACAGAAATCCAAGCCAGGGTTTTTGGCACCTTCTTGATTAACTGTGTAGGCTCCATGGCCTATGTGGAATGGAGGTCTTGCTGAGGGACCCTGTTATTGGCTGCCTGCTCTGGACCAAGTGGCATCAAAATAAAAATCAGAATATTCTAAACTACTATTGTTTTAAAAATACTGTGAAGATTAAAAACCCCTTAAAATGTTTCCTTCCTGCTCCTAACTTCAGTGGCAGGGATAGAAAGATAGATCCCTTTAGTTTCTCTGCTCCATTACATTGACAAAATAGTTTTACCTAATGTTGCCTTCAATTTATCTGAGGAAAGGAGTATATCCAACTCTGCAGCCATCTCTTATTAGCACAGAACATTCAAGTAAAAATATGTTGAAAGTAGATTTTCACACCATTGGGAGCAAGTAAGTCCAAAATAGAAATACTTAAAATATTCCAAATGTTGACCACCAGAATCACTGTCCTATTCTATGACACTCTGTCCTCTAAAGTCAGGAACAAAGGAAAGAGAGCAATTAGATGGGAGGCTTGCTTGGGCATAAGGATTCGGCTGACTGTGCTTGTAAAGCTAAAAGGGTAGGCAGGGGCCATTGAATCAGGCCCAGATCTTCGGCCCTTATTCAGCAGTCCCCATTCAGCCCCGTCTCCAGCTCACAGGGGTGGGGGAAGTCCCTGACAGCTGCACTTTGCAACTAGGGAATAAAGCTTCAGGGCTTTGATCTTTTCTTCTTGTCTCTTCATATTTAATCTTGTGTTTCTAGTTTCCTTCTTCATTGCATATTTGACAAACCCAACTACTTCTAAATCTAGAGAATCCTGTAAATAACATACTGTGTTTACTCTTCCAAACCCAAAAACTTTGGGCCCATTTGGCCTCTGTGGTTTGCAAAAATTGGCCCCAGAGGAATAGCTACATGTGTAAAAGTCATATAATCATTGACTTACGCTGAAAGAGGCTGTTGAGATAATCTAATTTAGCCTCAACATTTTATAGATGAGGAAACCACTACCCAGAGAAGATAGGAGGCATGGTAAATGTCACAGGCTGAGAGACCCCAAACCTCCTAATTCCCAATCCAGCTTATTTGATGGCACTAACTCCAAGGTTAGCAGGTTGAAATCCATGTCTGATTATGGCTGAAGTGTATTTAATGGGCCACTGTCATGAAGTGGGCTTTTAGGGGTGCATGTGTATGTGTACACATGTCCATGGATATGTAACCTCCACTTAGAATCTGTATTAGATTTGCAGTGTGACAAAAATACCAAACAAGAACAACTTAGAGGAGGAAACATTTATTTTGGGCTCCCAGTTTCAGAGGTCTCAGTTCATAGTTGGCCAACTCTCTTGCTCTGAGCCCAGAGTGAGGCAGCACATCATAGTGGGAGGACGTGGAGGAGGAAACCATCTCAGGACATCCAGGAAGCATAGAAAGAAGAGAAAGGGGTTGCAGTGCAGATGCATCCTTCCAGGGCATGCCCCCAGTGACCCACCTCCTCCAGCCATACCCCACCTGCCTACAATTAAACTAGGATGGACTGATAAGTTTAAAGCACACAATCCAGTCATTTTACCTCTGAACATTTCTTTATTAACACAGATTTAAGAGGGGGGCACCTCACATCCAAACCATTACAAGATCCAAACAGAAGACATCAGAATTCTGCATGGATTAGTGACTTATGAATACCCAGCCAAACCCCACGGGCATTGTAACTTACTTACATGAGACTTTGGCAAGAGAGAAGTATCATCTCTGTCCAAAAGCTTTTGCTGACACATTTTGTGGATAAAGACACAGGATATTCTCTGGGCAGGCCAGCCAAAGCCCATAGGTGTTGTTATCTTTGCTGCCCACCAGAAAGGCAACATTATCACCACAAATGGTGGTAATGTTTTTATCTGATATCAGCTCTCTCCCTCTGCTATCTCCCACAGATCCCCCACATATCTCACTCACTGTCAGCCTAAGATAGAGGGAGCTCACATACAGTCTTGGGTCTGGCCTTTGTTCTGGGACAATCTTATGTCAGCCCAGCTCTCCTTTACTTTTTCCTGTATTCTTCAAGTCCTCCCTCCTTCTCAGTCCAACCTTCCCTGCAAGTACATGTCCTGTAATTGCCTATTACAAACAGTGAGATACAGGTGATTTTATCGGTACTAAGCACATGGTACCTCAATTCTCAAGTCCTTCCCTTAAGAGAGGATCATTCAGAGTCTTAAGTTACCTACTAGCAAAAATCTTGTTCATCAAAGTTGACTCACGTGATCCCTTTCTCTTTTTTGTAATATCTTTATTGTATTTATTTATTTTTATGTAGTACTGAGGATCAAACCCAGGGCTTCCCACGTGCTAGGCGAGCGCTCTACCTCTGAGCCACAACCCAGCTCCCCCAGCCCCTTCTTGAGTTATAGCAGCATCTAACTTTGGGGCATCTGATCTTACTCACCATGACCAATCCACAATGGACGGTTAACCCCCTAGAGACAGCAGTTGCCAAATAGTGCTATATAAACCATGAAATCATAAACATATATTCATACCAGAAACCAAAGTGTTGTAATGTATGCACTCTGTCAGTATTTTCTTATTCACTCATGCATTCATTCAACACACATGTTCATGTCAGATAGATCCTTGAAGACTCAGTTCAAAAGGTACAACTGCTTCAGAGAGGTCTTCCCTGACTCCCTAAAGAATCCATCAACCATTAGGCCCTACCATTACATGAGCCTTCTGTTTCCTTCATAACATTTATCGTAATTGAAAACTACCTTATAATCAAGTTAGTAGCTTTCCCCTCCAACTAGGTTGTAAGCTCTATGGGAGCAGAAGCCTTGCCTGTCTTACCCGTGGCTGTATCCCAGTACCTATGAATTCCCTCATGATTCCTAGAGATTGGGATGTAGGGAACAAGCAATATTGATTAAAGGCTGTGGACCAGCTTTAAAAAATAAGGAGTGTTATGGGCTTTGGTTGTGGCTGGGTAATAGAACACTTACCTAGCATATGCAAGGCACTGCGTTCAATCCTCAGCACTACATAAAAATAAATAAATAAACAAAATAAATGTATTGTGTCCATCTACAACTAAAAAAAATTTAAAAATACTAGCTAACTGAATTCAATAGCACATTAAAAGGATTACAGTAAATACCCCTTTATCTTCAATTTCATATTCTATAGTTGTAGTCCCATGGTTAAATGTAGCCTGAAAAATATTTATTTAAAAATTCCAGAAATCAATAATTCATAAGTATTAAATTGTATACTGTTCTAAGTAATGTGATGCAATTTCATGTCATTCTGCTCCATAC